CCAAAGCAGGCTGTCGCTGGGACGTAGGTGCAGGCGCTAGCGAGAGGCGCGACGTAGCCATTATGGCTGTCCACTACAGCCACAAAGCTGTGTTGAAACATACTATGTTGGGCAATTTTCAGGCAGCAAATAAGAGTTCCCAGCTTTATTATCATCATAAATCGCCTCTTATGCTCTCTTTTTCTATTGTAGGATTCGTCAGTTTCGACAACCCGGCCAACGCTTTGGCGGCTATTCAGGCTATGAATGGATTTCAAATAGGCATGAAACGTTTGAAGGTTCAACTGAAGCGTCCTAAAAACGACGCCTCCAAGCCCTACTAAGCCCAGGCTCTGTCGTTATTTTTTTGCATTTATTAAACTCCACGCACTCCAAGCCTACTGAAAAAATTAACTTTATCAGAACAGTATGACACGCACACACGCATACACGTCCCAAATCTACTCTGTGATTCTATATACATACCTACCTTGATGGTTATTACAAATGACAACTGCTCTGGCGACCGATAAAACGCCCAAAATCTTCCCTAACGTTTTACGAACAAAGCGGCGGTTTTTTTCTAATCTCACTTGTATAAATTTGCCGCTAATTTGTTGCTGAGTACCAGTCAGCTCTATTTTTGTGTTGCAATATCGAAAAGGAGAACGCGGACAGCGGACTGTACCAGAGGGTACAGTCTCACTGTGTCATTCTTCATTCTCAAGCCTGAAAGTGAAACGCATAATCCTACTCTGTCTCATTTTTTCCATTCTATCTTTGCAGTCTTTTTTATATTTCAAGTTCTAGGCCTCCCGCTCTCTCGCTCGCTCGCACACACATTCATTTTGTCATTTTCATAGTTCTGCATCTGTGGAGCGAGAGGCACAGACCACAATTTTTGCCCGATAAACACTTGGCAGCAAGGTGACTTCCCATTGTTCGCTGTCGGGACAGGTTAAGACGCAAAAAAACAGTTGTACTGCCGCACACCTGCACACACACATTACTTACTGACTTCATTCCGTGCTTATCCGCCTCTCCCCATCCGCCCTGTCCGGCATCTTCACCAGTTCCTCAGAGATCGACTATTCTCGCGCTTCTCTACCCTTTCCTCCGCAACGACGCACCACTGCTTGATTATATACTTTTTCTTCAAAAATAATTTGCTGATTTCATCACAAATATTCATCTTTTTCCGTTTGTGAGTCGGTGTTTACGGACATTTTACTTGCTGAATTGGTCTAGAATAGACATTTGGGAATAGAGAACTTAGCGAGATCGCGATGAGAACGACCATGCTTGCTTGCCAGCAACTAAGAAGTCCGGACAAGACGGATTTTTTTGCGGAAACTGAATTACCTTATCTCCCTAAATGGTCGTGTTAGTCATTCCCGCCCAGAAAATTTTGATTCTTGGGGTAAGACCAAGTAAAAATGAAAAAACAAAAACGAAAAACAATAGTTAAATGTTTAAACGAAAACGAGGGCATTATCATTGGGACGGTAAATTTATTGGCCTTAGCTTTGAAACTCGAGCAGAAGTTCAGCATCAGATACTGCTAGAGTGCAGCAACGTGTGAACATTTATATCGTTGTTCCGTGCAGGGGGGGGACTACGGCCTTGGTTAGGTCTTGTTTGTGCAGCCTGGTCCACAATGGTCCCCCGGCGTGGTGACGCCGTTTGCACTTCGCGACGATGTGAGCTGCGACACCTGGCTGCGCGGGCGGATGGCGTGATAACACGCAGGCAAATCAATGTGTCTATTGATAGAGTTGGTGTCCTACACCCACGCCTCTAACAGTTCTCGCCCCGTCTTGTTGCCGGCTCGCACCAATATCCGCGTGTTGGCGAAGTCGAACTCATGGCCTTCCTCCAGCGTGAGTAACGACTTGAAATAGTGGGTCGCCTCGAAGAAAACTACGACGAAACGACGGGGCCCCTAAAGATCCAGCACCTAATGCAGCTCTTTGCATTCTGTTAACGAACTTTTTTCACCTTCGATGGTAGAACGTACGAACAAATCAAAGGAACACTCATGGGTTCCTTAGTATTCAGCCTAGTTGCGAATCGGTCCTACAAGAGCTGGAAAAGGTTGCTTTCGGCCACTACAAACCTGCGTTTTGGTGCCGATACGTGGACGATACATTTGTCATTATTGAAAAGGACAGGCTATCGGGTTTTCAAGACTTGCCTTACATCATCTTACCCGACATGCTAATTTCCCAGCAAATAAGAAATCCAGATAAGACGTAGTGTTTTGCGGAAACCGAATCACATTATCTCTAAAAATGTTTGTTTTAGTCAGTCCCGCCCATAAAATTTCGATTCTTGGGGTAAGACCAAGTGAAAATAAAAAGAAAACAAAAACGAAAACCAGTAGTTGAATTGACCTTACTTTTCCGGTGTTTGTCTCCTTTCTTCTCCAAAGGGATGGTTATTTCGGTCGTCGGTCCCACCGACTGCTGTCTCAACTAACCGGATAGGCGTTCTTAAGCCCACCCATTATCACTGCTTGTACTAACACCCTAGTAACGCTGGAGACCGTTTAAGTTACAAATATATGGAAGAGCATCTGCCTCCCGTTCGTTTGGACCATCGGGCGTGAACAGGTCAGTCATTAGAAAAATAGACGACACAAGTAAGGGACTCAGAACGCCCATTTGGTGGGACTGTACGCGGAATGCGCAATATCTGTATCTTTCCGTTTACTGCTAGGCAACTTAACGCTATTTGTCTGCCTTGATTGTAGCCCATTTACAGTAGATGTGCTAACTCATGAAATGTCAACCAAAATTTCGAAATGCGGTCTTGTTTTGAAAAGATAAATTAAATAGTGCTGTAAAACTAATCATGATGCAGCATAAATCTATAATGATCCAGTTACCTCAGGGTGTCGGCTTTCAAAATAACTTATTTTTGGCCGCATGCAAGATCTATACTCTGCGAAAAATGACTACATAAGTAGCATGCAATTTTCTCATTGATTTTCGATGCCCTTGAAAATTCAATTATATTTCATGGAAAACATGCATAAAAATATTCATTCTTTTACTTATTCGGCAGAAAATCACGTCTTCTTCCAATTTCATACTCAAAAGAAAAGTAAAATTCGGTTTTAAAAAACTTTTCTAATTCCCGAATAATTCCGAACACGACCTGCTGTTACACTTGCATTCAGGGTTTCAAAATTACAAGCTGTATATTTTCCGTGTACGGCAAACCATGCATTTCTCTACGGTGTTAAGAGGAGACTATATGAGGTTCATAAAATTAAGCCGTGGATTTGAGCAATATCGTTAACTTTACAAGCCACATTCGTAAATGCAGATACATGACGTTTCATGAACAGCCATTTAACGGTATTCAAAAATATCACAGTTAGAAACTTTTTTAAAACCGAATTATACTCTTCCTTCGAGTAAAAAATTGAAAGAAGACGTGATTTTCTACCGAATAAGTAAAAGAATGAATTTTTTATGCATGTTTTCCATGAAACATAATTCAATTTTCAAGGACATCGAAAATCAATGAAAAAATTGCATAGTACATAAGTAGTCACTTTTTGCAGAGTACAGATGTTTCGAGTACAGTTCTTTCGAAAGCCGACACCCTGAGGTAACTGGATCATTATAGATTTATGCTGCATCATGTTTAGTTTTACAACACTACTTAATTTATCTTTTCGAAATTTTGGTTGACATTTCATGAGTTAGCACATCTACTGCAGGTGAAGTGAAAATGCGATTCCTAGGTGGCGTATCAAAAGAAGAGGAGACTTTCACCGGGAGGGGTTTATTAGCGGTCTGACGTCTCGAGTGGTTGCCTCGTCGACCCATCTTCAGAGACTGGGAAGTCATGCGCACAGTTCTCCTTATATGACTCACTTTGCTTAATGCTTGGCCCGCCCGTGCCCGTCAATGAAAATGGGTAGAAGGAGCAACCACTCAAAAACCTCAGACCTCTAGTAACCTCCCCCCCCCACCGGTGAACGCCTCCTCTTCTTTTGATGTGCCCCCTGGGAATCGCATTTTCCCTACACCCAAGTAGGCTACAATCAAGGCAGTCAAATAACTTTAAGAACCCTAGAAGTAAACGGGAAAATACAGTTCCTGGTTAGATTCTACTAGAACATTATTCTCGGCCTGTCGAATCCCTCAAAGACACGCCAACTTACGGAGTGGCAAAGTAGCTGTTTCAGTGTCTCAGACACAACAGTCAGTTGCCTCAGCAATACGGAAGATGTACGTTCCCTGAGGGAGGAACACATGGTATCTTTGGAGGCCACGTCCCTGTCTACTTCTAGTCCCGAACATCTGGCAGCCGAGACTATCGAATCACTCCTGTGAAGTGCATACAAGGGAACGGAGAATCGCCTCGGACTCGCCTAAATCCTACAGCTATTGAGTTCGGTGGAAAGAGTGTTTTCACCGATTGCTGAACCGATAGTCCTGACCGTCTTGCGAAATCACAGCCTGATATGTAGATAATAGCTGTATCGTCATTTAACGAGATCAAAATTTGGCACCCAAATAATACCTAGACGTTATCTTCCCCAACATGCAATTATGTGATGAGGGGGGGAGGAGTGGCCTTGTATATCGCGAGGAGTGTGATGGCTCAAAAGCTAGTGCTCGGGAAAGCGAAAAGTACAACGCGAGTAATGACTTTCAACAGCAACAACAACAACAACCCAATCAGTCAAAAATGCGGTTCCGAAAGGGATCTCTTTCGACGGCGTTGGGACCCGGGGTGTGAGGTTGTCGAATCACAATGTTGAGAAGCGCCCAGCGTGGTTGGCTATCCACGATTCCTTGTCAACCGGTGTTGCAAAACCGGAACAAAATGTAAAACCGCATCGGCTTAAAATTTTTGTGAGAACTCCCGTACTTCAAAAGCGTCTCATAAGCTGTCAGGCGACTACTCAAGCCACCGGTGAAAGATATCAGTAGAAAATAATTGTGCAAATAGTGGTAGTAGTAGTAGTAGTAGTAGTAGTAATAGTAGTAGTAGTAATAGTATTAGTAGAAGTAGTAGTAGTAGTAGTGGTGGTGGTAGTAGTAGTAGTAGTAGTAGTAGTAGTAGTACAAGTAGTGGTAGTAGTAGTAGTAGTAGTAGTAGTAGTAGTAGTAGTAGTAGTAGTAGTAGTAGAAGTAGTAGTAGTAGTAGTAGTAGTAGTAGTAGTAGTAGTAGTAGTAGTAGTAGTAGTAGTAGTAGTAGTAGTAGTAGTGAAAGACGACAACAGAGGAAGTGAAAAAAGTAATAGTGAAAATGCGATTACCAGGCGGCATATCAAAAGAAAAGAAGGCGTTCACCGGGAGGCGGGTTTATTAGAGGTCCGACGTCTCGAGTAGTTGCTTCATCTACCCATCTTCAGAGACTGGCAAGTCATGCGCGCAGCTCTCCTTCTATGACGCACTTTGTTTAATGCGTAGCCCACTCGTGCCTGTCAATGAAAATGGGTAGACGAAGCAACCACTCAAAACCTCAGACCTCTAATAAACCCCCCCCCCACCGGTGAACGCCTCCTCTTCTTTTGATGTTCCCCCTGGGAATCACATTTTCACTACAGCTAAATAGGCTGCAATCAAGGCAGACAAATAGCTTTAAAATACCTAGAAGTAAACGGCAAAATACAGTTCCTACGCAGCCCGCGCAAAGTCCCACCAAATAGGCGGCCTAAGCCCTTTTTGCTGTCTACAGTAGATATGCTAACTGATGAAATATTATCAGAAATCCTGAAATGAATTTTACGTCGAAATATTACTCAAACAGGTTTCTAATATTAATCGTCCTGCAGAATAATTCCATAACAATTCGGTTACTTCATGATGCCAGCTCTCGAACGAAGTTCTCTCCGGTCGCCTGCGAAAACCACACTCTGTAAAAAACGACTACTTAACTAGTATGACTTTTTCTCATTGATTTTCGATGCCCTTAAAAATTCAACTATATTAGAAAGTTCAGCGAATATTCCCATGTTACGATTAAATAGTCAAATTGGCGAACAAGTGTTTTCAGTAACTCTTCATCAGGCCAAAACGGTTACAATGAAGTTTAAGTTATGCGAATTACATGACTTATAAATGATTCGGTGACAATTAATATCGATCGTTCCCACGCCACTCGCATGACGAGGCGTGCTATGGCGTGGTCGGCGTGTCGTGGTCATTGGGTTCAGGGGGCGAGGGAGAGGGGGGGCATAGGCTGTGAGTACGTCCTGTACCTTGTGCACCCACCCTGGCATCAGGAGGTTGGGGCGACGTTGGGGTCGGCGTAGGCCACGGAAGATAGAGCGCCTGTGTCAGAGTCTTCTGACAGCATAGCACTGGATTGGCTAGCCGTATAGCCACTGCCTCAGCTGTAGCTAGCACCCGTTGGCGTAGGCCTTTGGAGAAGCCTGCTGGTGTCCGGTAGACAATCTGAAAGGCTTCTTTGGCATCGACTCGGTGATTCGTATCGACAAGATGTGCGAGAATAGAACTCGAGATCGATTTCTTCTCACCTTTGCCTAGCCAGGCCGGTATGTGTTCACGTACTCTCTTTTCCAAGCGCCTCGTTGTACGGCCAATGTATCCCGCTCCACAGGAGCAAGTGAATGAATAAATATACATTGATGTGGCCTGCAACGGGAGTCGGTCTTTACCTCCCAAGCGTAGGAGGGGAGAGTTAGTGAAACACACGCGTAAGTTCGCCGCGGGGAAAGCGCTAGTGATCGCTGTCTTCAGACGTCTTTTTACCAGTTCACTTGCTGCGTCCCCTTGAAAAGGCAATCTTATAAATAAGTCCTTCTTTTCTGCAGTTGCCATGGTAGGTTTTGCAGTGCGCTCCCCTATATTAGAAAGGATTACTTAGAGGAGGTTAGGATATTGATTGTCGTGCATCATAATCCTTAGATATTTCGGTCACATCAGGATGCCAATATTTAAATGAACTTTCTTCGGCAGCCTGTAAAAACCACACACGATTGAAATGACTACTTAAGGTTGCGTGAATATTTGCAACTTGATTTTCGGTTCGCCCCTAAATTCATGCCAATTTTGTAGAAAACATGCAAAAATCACCTCTCTTATGTTCATTAGGCAGTAAATCAGGTTTACTTCAATTTTTTACCGAAACAACTCATGAAAATGAAGAGGTGAATTCCAGGAAGCAGTTCGGGGAAAAAACTGCGATCTCTGGAGCAAAAAAGATCATTCGCCAACGTTTCAAATTCCCATTTGAACCCATCATCAGAGGCAGTCGAAAGTAAGGATGATGGAGGTACAAGATGTGCAGTATTTATAGGACACTGTTATGATGCAACGGGGAAATTATTCTGGATACGGAGGGCAGAACACGCAGCAGCAGCAGCAGCGGCAGCAGTAGTTAGGAGGAATAACGCTAGCTCCCCGATCGGGGCCACCCGATTAATTTTGACGGGGTAAGAAGTCTTGCAAAAGCTGACAACCGTGTGCTGCTCGAGTTACGATTTTCTGGCACACAGTAAGTTATCCAGCGCAACGACCACCAGCCTCTGTGTTCGACGTTGTGGCTTTGCCCAGTCGAAGGAATTAGTCACGCAAGAATAGCACGGTTGACCAACGGTTTGAGCGACAGCGACTCGAACTGCCGAACCGTTATCACGCCAAGAATCAGAAATGAAGATTAAATTACGGCCACTAACGATTTAAATGTGGATTGACAAGCGATGAACGCGGGAAATGCTAATTAGTAGTATGCATGTGGTTGCATGCCCACTGCTCCCTATAAATACTGAGGTCCTTGAGCTCCGACTATCTCCTACTTTCTCGTGGGAATTCGAAACGTTGAGCGAATGACTTCTTGTTCCACTGATTGTATCTTCTTCTGACGATAGTTATATGGAAAATGACAACTAATGCCAGTTAGCTCCTGCCGGCTGCGCGGATAAAGCCGAGAATAAAGACCCATTGGAATAATTGCTGTGGTTTCCTATATCTAGACTGATTACCACATAGTACAGGACTTGCCATGTCAATAAAAAAAACAATAAATACAGTGAGTGACCGATCGCATGAAATGTTGGCTGAAATTCTGAAATGCGTTTTCGTTTAGGAAGGATTACTTAGGTGCGGTTATAATACTAATTATCTTGAGGTATAGTCCTATTATATTTGGGACTCGGCAGGATGCCGGCTTTTAAATGCACTGATTTTCAATCTCCCCTGAAAACTGTACTCGGCAAAAAATGGCTCCTCACGTAGCATGCATATTTCACATTGATTTTCATCGGTCTTGCAAGTTCGAATGTATTTTATGGAAACCACGAACAAAAATACGGCTTCTTTCAGTAATTTGATAGAGAATCACGTCACTCTTATACTTTATACCTGAAGAAGAAGGAGAAGAAGAAGAAGAAGAAGAAGAAGAAGAAGAAGAAGAAGAAGAAGAAGAAGAAGAAGAAGAAGCAGAAGCGGAAGAAGAAGAAGAAGAAGAAGGACTATAATAAGGTTTCAGAAAAGTTTCTGATTATGAGATTTTTTAAGACCGCGCAATGTCAATTCATACAGCATCGTACCTGTACGTTTACCACTGCTCCTCAAGTAATGTACAACATAGTCCGCATCCATTGCAAAATTTTGTGGACTCTGTATGATAGCTTTTTAAAGGCATGGAAGAATATTGATTTTCTTTACGCGGAGCGCATGCACCTAGTAGACTGAAATCACTGAGCGCTAACGCAGCGACTGATCAGGCTCCAAAATAGGCGGGAATTGGGAAATTTTTTAAAACCTAATTATTCGCCTTCGTAAGCATAAAATATAAGGATGACGTGATTCTCTATCAAACTACTGGAAGAACGCATATTTTTGTTCGTGCCTTTTATAAGATATATCCGAATTCGCAAGACCATAGAAAATCAATTGGAAAAATGCGTGCTACTTAAGTAGTTATTCCTGGCCAAGTTCGGTTTCTACAGGAGACTAGAAAGTAGTGCATTCAAAATCTGACATTTTACCGAATCCGAATCAACATAGGATTATGTCGTAAGATAATCAGTCTTACAACCGCACCTAAGTAATCCTTCTCAAACAAAAACGCATTTCAGAATTCCGACCAACACTTCATGAGATCGTTCACGCACTGTATGTTCTTGTGAAAGCCCCGTTTCCTAAGGTTCGATGTAGTTTCAGAGGTCTGGGTTTTCCAGCGTACAGACTCGTTCAGCAGGGCACTGTCAGCATGCGGACCGCGTGAATGCAAATTCGAGCGCGCCACACGCTGGATGCCTCACAGCAGATGACCGAGCTTCAAGCGGAAGTGGGACCGAGCGGACTGGAGGAGTCCGCGACCAGTGGGACTGAGTCAGTGCAACAAACGGAAGTCATTTAGTTCTAATCGCTCTCTTCCGCCCTTATGACTATGCCCTGGCTCGTGCGAGTCCTCTACGGAGCTCCGCCGAACTTCGCCGCTGACAGCTCATAGGTTCAGTCACACAGTTTGATGAGGGACAGTGTGGCTCGCCAATTTCATGCGGCAATTTTCAGTGTTGCAGTTAAGCCATCAGTCATTACCACTCATGTCAATTTCGCATATCGAAGTCGTTTATTGCGCTTCAGTGAAATGCTTAATTAAAAATCTTCTTCCTGATGCTAGTTTTTTATAGAAAAGCAAGTACTTGATCGAAATAAAAAATAATGGGTATTGCGCCCAATACGACTGGGCATGTTTACCGCCAGGAATCATAAAGACTGTTGGTTTCTGTGATCAGCTCTCATGGGCCGCCCGCCGGACCCGTCAAGGAGGAAAAAATAAGATTCGACCATTATAATGGAGTTCGATTTATTGAGTATTTTTACACTGTCTAAAACCTGTGAAGGTTTTCATCAGAATCTAGAAGATATGCTAACAAACGACAATGTTTGTTAGTAGGTTGGATGAATGGAGCCTTGAAGATCAATATTGATTAGGCTTATGGGTGTGTTTAATAAGTAAACAGGTTAGAAGCGGCTACCAACGGTTGACTGTATTCGTGCTAACCCTGCGTACGTCGAAATACTGGCAAGTAGTGTGATGAGATAGGTGAAAAGCGCAATTTACTAAGGGCGCATTTCGTCTCGGTGTTTCCGTAATCAGCCTACTCTCCGGACTCTCTTAACGTGCTTACCTCAAATGTCCGCTTTGTACTTCTTAACGCTAACTAAGCAAGATTCCATGTGAAAAAAACAAATTATATGGGCGATCTTTATGAGATATACTGAAGAAAATACAATTCAGTGACGCTGTATAGGCACATTCTTATAGGATAAGGATTTGGTGAAGCAGACCA